TAAAGTCAGCTTTTGAGTGTTAAGTGCTACCAGTTAGTGCAGCAACACTGCCGTGGAGCTAGGTCTGGCCCTTAACTGTTAAGGAATGTAGATATGGTAGCAGAGTGGGTAGGTTTTTATTCACGCTGTGATTTCCAGCTGGGGTGCCCAAGGGGCTTGCAGCCTTGAGATCATCTTCAGGACATAAAGTGAGCTCTTCAAGTCAGACCAAGACCAAGAAGAGAGCTTTAAAAAAAGAGCCTTACCATTTATAAGGACAGCCCTTATGAGGCAGGGGAATTGAGGACAGATTGGGTGGTACAGGAGAACGGTACATTTAGATTTTTAGTAGCTGTAGATACAAAGCTCCTCAGAGGTGACACTCCCTCCACCTCCCATTTTCCGGACAATGTCACAACACATTTCAGATGAGTGTATAGCAGTGGTGAGCATTAAACGTGAACACTCAACAAGGATAACAAGAAACTTAGAAAGTTCTTTCTAATTCAGTTGTCTTATTAATTTATCTCTAAAACAAGGCAATAGAATGCTTACCTCTTACTTTGTATAGCTTTTATTCCCTTTAGGTAACTGATTATTTACACTGTAGAACAGATTTACATTATTATTTTACAGAGCATAGTTGTCTTATATATCAACATGAAATTAAGGATTAAACATGGCGTTGTTACAGGTCCAAAGTTATTATTACTTCTCATTTCAAGTGAGACAAGGCTTTTCCCACTAAAAGACTTATTATGACAGTAAGAAAGTCACAGCCATCTGTAACCACTTGAGCACATTCACTGCCTGCCTGCCTGTAACAATATGAAAATATTGGTTCAGATTAGTTCTGGCTTTCCCCAAACCCTTAAAACAATTGGGTTCCTGCATAGGAAGCACATCCAGGCACAGCGCCTGCTGAGATGTGCTCTAGCTGTCAGACGCTGCCAATGCTGCAGGTACTGAAAATCAAGTACAGCTTCCCAATTTGAACAGGAAGCTGTGCAAAGCTGATGGACCACTTCCTACTGGCAGGGACACTGTAGACTTCTGACTGGGGTCTAACACATCTCCTGGTCACTCACTCAGCAAGTCTGGGACAGGGGGAATATATATATACATATATATATACACACCCATATACATTTAAAGCTTCCTTTTCAGGGTCACATGTGACTTCTTTTCAGGGAAATACACACATTTTCACTCACTTCAAGTACAGACACCTGCAAGAGCACAGCTTAAGCCTGATGGGCTGGATACCACCATTGATGGTTGGCATTAGAACCTAAAGATGAAGGAATTTAGTTATTTAAAGAATAAAGAAAAAAACATCTGCCTTCTGTCACCTGCTGTGCTTTCTAAACTAAATAGAGCTCACTTTAAAACATAAGCCAGAGCAATAGGGCTAAGAAAAAAGAATTAGTATTTCACATAATGATCTTTAAATTTATTAATTTTGTCAGCATCTTGGCATGCTTAGTTTCTGCTTTCAGGCATCTCTGCTCTATTGAAGACTTCAGCATAGTATTCAAAGAAACAGAAGTAGTATTTCATGTGATTGTGAGCTTTCACTCAGTACCCTTCAGTCATGTATTATCACAAACTAGTTTTGGTAAAGAGAATGTAGAACTATACAGCTGTTACTTAAACTGAATCAGAAAAGCAGATCAGTTTAAGAGTAAACTGATGTAATATAGCAATCAATTATGAACTTGATGAAATATAACACTTTAATCAGCTTTGAAGACTAGTAATTTTGGAAGCAACCATGTTAGAGACAAACTTTACTCACACCATTGAAAATATCCATAGCAATCTACTGGATTTTTTTCCTAGTAGGTTGGTAAAAACAACATTATAGCTTTTGCTTCTACAGAAATTAAAGATTTTGTTTAAGGTTAGAAAAAGTCTAAAGGCTGAACTATTTTTTTTACTTAAAACCCAGTGAATAGAGTAAGCATAACTATCATACAGCTTGTTTAATAAAATTATTATTTGCATCTTAACTGCTGCAAATAAGAAAACACTTAGCGTAAAAGTTTTTATAGCCTCTTCAGTAAAAATTAACTTTGTAGCCTTTTAAAAAGATTCTAATTTCTTAACTAAAGCAAGGAAACAAGCTACTGAAAAGCTTCTCCTTTTTTTCTATAAACAGAGCAAATGTCCAAAAACCATTGCATAAGCTTACCTTAATTTTAAGAAAGCAACAATTTAAATATAAAAAAATCTGCTCATTAAGAAACAAAACAAGATGGTTTCTTTGCTGCTGCTATGGCTTTCCCAGCTACTACAAAGGAAAAGCAAACATTAATCTAGTGAGGAGCTCCATGTGAGTATTTATATCCCAACCCCCTTCTCTCCTGCACACTCATTAGTCTAATTTCCATGAGCTCATCAAGCCAGGAATGCTTAAATTCAGAGGGGGGAAAGGGCCACTTCCTTTGTTTTGTTGGTGGGTTTTTGTTTGTTTGTTTGTTTGTTTGTTTTTGGCAGGTGTTTTCTTTGAGGTGAGAATTGGAGATTTTGTTTACTCTGGGTTGTTTTAGGGTTGGAATCTATGGAGTATATCACTTGTGCTGTGAGTAATGTTATTTAATATAATAGGGAACTTTGCTGGAAGAATCATTAGGCAGTGTTAAAGGGTGCAAAGTATGATTTGTTTAATTTATGCGTGATTACTTTCTGATCTGTATATGGATGTTAGTAAGCTTTGGCTTTTCTTTTTGAGGATTCTGAGTTGAAATTTTTTTGTGGGCTACATTTAATACAATGTTATTAACTTGATTTATTTAGTCTTTTTCTTGAGTGTTTTCTCAGGCCAAACAAACTGATCACTTGATGGTCTAAGAGCAAACCATTCATAGTTCCTCAGTCTTGCATTGTAGATTTGTAAGCTTCTATTCCCCCCATCCTTCCAATTCTGGGAAAAGTCATTCCTGTCACACTTGGATTTTGCCTTCGCTGGGTTACAGCCCAAGACAGAGGTCCCCTGCTGCTTGACATTCTGACAGTAACTGAATGTTGGGGTGCACAAATAGACTTTAATGTTAGAAAGAGTATCAACCTAGCGTCTGCTGGCACTGCGATGCCACGTATTTGAATTTGTTTTATTTGAGCTTCCAGTAGGTACATAAATTTTCTGATAGGCTTCGGCAGCGCAATGAGAACTGATTGAGGAATTAGCAGAATTTATTCCACGAACTGTTAAAGAGAGCTACTGATGCGCGGATTGACTCCACAACTCGTTAAAGTTGTAAAGTAGGTATGCTTTTTATTCAGCGTTGAGACGCACGGGGATAATTCCTCAAAGTCATGCGTACCTCAGTGTTGTTTCCCTCTACATTTATTCTCTAAAGTTATATATATATTCGTAAGGTTGCACAACACGCCTATACATATTCATGTCCTATCCCCGCTTCGTATTATAATGAGCCAGAAGGTCCTCTGCACCTGCGCAGTGCCCCCTCTGGTCATGGGCAGGGGTCTCAAGATGAAGTAACTGAGTCTTCCTCCTGTGGGTAGGGGTCTTCAAGATGAAGTAAATGAGTCTTCCTCCTCTTGCACTTTTCACCTTTCAGTCTTCACATATGGCCTTAGGGTTTGGTCGGTATCCCAGCCATAAACCATCTGCTTCTCCCCCTTATCAGTAGATTCAGGTGTCTGCTTTTCCTTATCAATAGCTGCTTATCAATAGGATCAAGTGCCTGCATTTCCTTATCAATAGCTGCTTATCAATAGGACCAAGTGTCTGCTTTTCCTTATCAATAGGACCAGGTGCCTTTGTTCTGCTTAGCAGGCATTTACAACAGACAATACTTTTGTTTAAGCAAGCAAATTCCTCTAACCCCCTTGTACAACCCCCCTGTACTTTGGTCAACTCTCTGCATCACTACTCCAGTTGTCCCAAGTCATTCCTTTTGAATTTATCCACCACTCTGTGTCATGATTCAAACCCACAAGAAGAGGTAACACCAGACCTGACCCATGTTTGCTGCTTGTATTTTTCTTAAAGCGTGATGGTAAAGAACAAGTCATAAAGGCACAATCTTCCAGCAGCAGCAAAGCCTTTGCTTGTTCAGTCATAAATAAGTGTGGGTGTTGAAAAGATAAGGATGTCTGCTGTGGCAAAAGAAAATTCTGGTCTAATTCCAATATTTTTCTCTGCAGTTCCCAGGAGTTCTCCATGTTTCTGTTTGTGAAAAGCTTTTGCTCTAGGCAGGAAAGGAGTTGTGAATCTGGTTTCCACAACAACCAGCTACAAACATGCTTAGTGTATTATGCCAGCAGGGACTTAAAGAAGCTAGTGCCTTCCTTGTCTAAACAACATGGCTGTAGTGTTAGCTTCTGCAGGTTTTCTTACACACCTTTTTCAGATTTTCTGGGAATTTTCTTGTGGAGTGCCTTGGAGGTAACTTTCTATACGTCAGTAAAAATAGAATAAGATACTATTTTCCTCTTAAGGTACTTTTACTGTCAGAGCTGTAAAATTATCAGGTATGTATATTTCTAATTCTTAATACAGTCTTAAAATGTATTTTACCTCTGGATTAAGCAATTCCTGAGTATATATCTGGATAAAATATGCATTATACATCTGCATAAAATGTGTGATACTGCACTATTTGATATTGCAAGTACGTTAATGATCTCTAAAGCCAACCTCTTAGGCTATTAATTTTTGCTATGCTTTAGCAAGCAAGTACCTTATTGTATTGCACTGAAAGTACCAATTTAAAACATCTGTCAGTTGCCATTTGACTGTTTAAGCCAGTATAGGTAAAAACTGTGGAGTGACCGAAAGCTGGACAAGTTATGGTTAACTGAAATGAGGTGTTAGGAATATTTGTCATCTTGAACATACAGTTTCACAATATTTTTCTCAGTAAAGCAATAGGCATATATAAAAAATGTCTTGAAACAGAAGCTCTATAACATTAATTATTTTTTTATTAAAAAAAAAATTTAATGCCAGTATTTTATGTGCTTGAAATGCTGTTTTTCAGTGTATGATGTCCTTCATGCAAGTTGTCAGTGTTTTATCAGCTTTTCTCAACAGCTGTACAGCAGCAAGATGCTGGCCAGTGTGGGTGAGCACACCTGGACCTGAATATCCACTTGTGCTCTGGAAGTACTCCCGTATTTTTCATTAGAATAGAGCCTTTAAGCTCTGCATGATGTAATTTGCTTACAGAAGGGAGAATGTCTTATAAGGGCTTTCAAGAAAGCAGACCAAGATTCTCCAACTTGCTTACTGGTCAGTGCTGGATATTTCTGAAGAAAGGTCTAGATGACTTCAGAGATGGCTTTCCTCCTTCACCTGATAACATGCTTGTTAATGGCAGGAAGCAGCCTGTCTCAATTACCCTTGAGAACAGCACACCAAAATCTTTGTCCAGAGCTCCATGGAAGAAAAGGAACCAGTGCAGCAGAGCAGAGGTCTGTCTTTGCAAGCTCAGCCTGCTACAGCAAGCCAGGAAGGATTATGTTGCACAGAAAGAGTGCTATCTGAGCCAGCAGCCTTCAGTGCGCTACCCATGCTTGGAAAAGAGCACCTCCCCAAAGGTAATCATATTGTAACCTTGGTTAAACATTGTTTCTTTGGAGAGTGGGAACAGGAAACCAACATAGAAGGCAGCTACTATTGTCAATTCAAACCACACACCTAGTTCTGTTTCTTTCCAAACTAAAAACAAGGCAAATAATATTAATGTTAACTTATATTTAGATGGTCAGTCCAAATTGCTGGCAAGTTAATTGTGGAGCAGTATTGTAAATGGCTAATTGAGGAATCAACAGATCAAGGAAAATGTGCTATCTGCTAAGTTATCAACAGGCAGTGATGCAAATAGATGTTATAGAGCAGGAAACAACTCTAATCATAATTGTTAAGAATATACCCAAGATAGCAAAGTATATCTCATTAGCTTTATTTCTCAGCATGTTTACAGAATCTTCCTTTCCTTCCTTGTTTCCAGTTCTTGATATTGCTCTGCTTCATGCAAGCAAAAGGTAGCAAGTTACCTTCTGTGCAGCTGGGAACTTCCGGAATGCTCTTGTCTGGATGTTGTGGAGGGTAGATAGTGACTAAATACAATGGCAAAACTAAGTTATTTTGCTTCTAGTACCTCTCAAAAGGAACAGGGGGAAGCTGGGAGACTTTTGGAAAGACAGGCTTTATGCTAAAGAAGATGGGGAACTGAATGGAGTGCCTTAGCATTATTTTAGCCTTGTCTAAAGGGATATACTTCCCTAAGGCTTGGATGCAATAAGATGATAGATGGGTCCAGGGGGAGAAGCCTTATATTTCAGAGATGGAAATTGGGTGTCTGTTCTATGAGACCAGGCTCTCCCTGATCCTAGGCTATGATTACTGGGACAATGGGATCATGAAACCAGGGGTTGTACTGACAGGAAGGAAACCTAAAAGTAGTTGAAGGCAAGCTTCGTATGTGGTATAGCAGATGGCCATAGAAGATGTCAGAGACTAGACTTAAAGCATGATTCACAGTTCTAGCAAGCAGCCTGAGGTGCAATTAATGCTTTAGAGTTTTTTGGAAAAGGTCTGTAAATTGAGGCTTCTGGACTATGAACTGCCTTAACTGCTAGTAGATGTGTAGGTACTTGCATGTCAGGCAGTCCTTGACAGCCCCCAAAGCAGACTTCCTCCAATGAGGTTGCTTTTGATCACAGGATGTCCTTTTGCTTGGCTTGCAGATCCTGAAAGAGGTTGCAGGTGTCCTGGATCCTGACATGATGCTGAAGAGTAAAGCTGGCTACAGTGACTATGAACAGGAGAACCAGCCTGGTCAGGAGGTGCTGGGTCATATGGAGGACATGCAAAGCAAAGTAACAGCTTCCAAGACACAGGTACAGTGAGTACAGTACAAGATGAAGACAGCAACAGAAATGGCTCTGAATGCCCCGTTCTGAGATGAGTGGAAAAATAAATTAAAGCACTTAATTAAAAGTTACATCATTCTGTCATGGGAGTAGTTATCATTAAAAGATAGGTTCCTTTGCTTTCCTCAGTGATCCTGATTAACTGGCATCCCACCTTGTTCAGAGGCTAGTCGTGGTTGGTGCTGAGTGATTCAAAATCATAAGGAGACAGCTTTGCTGGTGGTTAGTTTTGCAGGCTGAATTAGCTGAGTCAGAGTAAGTGCTATCACTTGATTCTTTCCTAACCACTTCTGATAATGGCAGGCAGATGTGGTGATGGATGCATACAGTTACAGTTTTCTATTCTGAAGGTGGCAGGTTGACTGGTGACAGCTGCCACAGCAGATAAAAGGTGTTTCACATTGTACTGCATTAATACCTGCAGTGGCAAAGAGTCTTGAGTCAAAACCCCATGCGTACAGCTTCTCAAGAAGGTAGCAGCAAGAATAAAGGAAGCCACACTGGCTGACTTTGTTCACTGTGACAAACATGTAAAGCAAGCAACCAAGCATTTTTGTGACTGGCTTGTCTTCAGTAAGTAAAACAAAACTGCCACTACCTGCTTTCTTTGATTCTGTAGACTTATTTGCTACTTTTTAGGCTAAATGTGTTTGGGCTCAAGAAGTAAAAATGTGACTCTGGATGTGCAAATCTGAGAGCCAAAGTCAAAACCAGCATTTGACTCACAGCTCTGTCCTGTTGGGACTAATGGGGCTTAGCCCACTAAAATGAAAAGCAAGGAATAAATATCGCTATACAAAATTACTAATTAAGTTTGCTGCAGAATATTTTTTTTTTTCCCCAGGAAAGCCATCCATGTCCAAATGACCATTCAACTGCCTCACCTTGTAGCAATCCCCTTTCATATGAGATTAATACACCAATCCATGTGTTAGATCCGAACTTTGTGCTTGCCTTGTCACTGTGATGATTCTAATGCAAGCATACTTGTAGATCAGCTGAAACTATCACACTGAGTTGAGTTTAACAATAGTATAGATGGCAAGGAGGCGGTAACAGAAGCAAGAAAGTACTACTACTAAGGAGATGTTGATTTCTTCCCCATTCTGGCTCTCCTGGGGTGGATGTTCTGGGGTGGAGGGAATTGGAATATTGATGAAGATACCCTCATAAGCTTGCTCAACACCAGCTGTGAAAGGGAGGCCACTGTCCCTTCACTTTCCAATGCTGTGAAATTCATCAACATGAAACAAAGCAGCTCAAGAGCCAGGACGTTTCACCTCCCCAGTTAGCTGTCAGGAGTTCTCACTACCTAAGGAACCTGCCCTGCCAGGTTAATGTAAGGGACCCCACATTTATACTTGATAAAGATATAATTGTTTGGATGGTTTGTGGTGGAGCCTCTGGCTCCCAAAGTATGAACCTCACATGGTTCCTTCCCAAGTTCTTACAAAAGTGAGTTTAAAAAATGGCCAGATGACTTGAGGGTAGAGATTTCCAGAAGTACCTTTAAATACTGTTTCCCTTTGAGGGGAGTTGTGAGGAGGGAAGGGAAAAAATTGCTAGTCATTGTCATCAGCTGTCACCTAAATATTGTGCAGTTGTAGGATATAAGATCATCCCTGGTAGACTCTTCAGAGGTGGCATTCAGGTTCTGCGATGGTCTGTACTGCCTATGGTATGAGGGACAAATGCCAAGATGATGAAAGAACATTGCAGTAGTTATTTCGTTTTGTTTTTTTTTTCCTTCCAAGTCCCTTCCCAGACAAAATAGGAGAAGATCAGGTATGGAGCATGGTATCTTGATCCCAAAACATGGAGAAAACTGAAAGCAAATGAACCATTAAAATAACCAGAGGCCACAATCAATAGCCTTGGGAGTGCAAAGAACTGGTTTGAAAAGGTACTGTGAAAGTCAAAAGCAGTATCCATTCTTCTGTGACATAGCTATGAGATTTTCTCACAGGGATGTATCTGGGCACTTTATTGTAATTGGCAGCCACAAACAGATGTGGAACAGACCATGTTATCCAAGCTGAGATCACCATGGTTCAAACAGGCTCATTGACTTGGATTAGCCTGTGGCTTCATGGCACCAATATGTGGACAATAGCCCCAGAAGGCAAATAAGCACAAATCAAGCTTAAATAGCTGTTGCACATTTAGTTCTTTTAAGAATGTTCTAGGGTGTGCTTATCTTGGTTTAGTTGTCCTGCAATACCCACCTTGACAAAGGTGCTGGATTCAGCTGTGGCACAAGGTGTTGTTAGGAGGAGTTTGAGGAGTAGGCAGGTTCTTCAGTTGCTGGCCTTAGATGTAGGTTTAGTTTCCACTTTATTAAAAAAAAAAAAAAATTACTCCACCTTCACACTTAGGACACAGTACAAAGGGAAAACGCTGTTAATGCTCTAGAGGGCAGTCCTTCCAAAGGTCAAACTGAGGAGCTGCTGTGACTAAAACCATGCCACATGCAAAAGGCTGGTAAGCTGATGACAAGTGTTGCTCCTGGTTTATGAAGAAAAAAGACAAATGAGTAATTTTGGCAGGGAGGATGCCTGGGAACAGCTGAGCTCAGAAGAACATAAATGCAAAGGTTATAGCTGATGCTGCTAAAAATAAAGGAAAAGTTTACAATTGAACAACAATCTACCTCATTTTGTTCAGCTTTTCCTGAAAATAGACTGCAAATCAGTGAGGGTAGGTGTGCTTACTTAGAAAATGAAGAATAACTCTTCCTGCCTTGATGCTTGCCAAAGCTGCTGGGGGAAATGACTTTGTGTAGTACACAGGACATCAGATTATGGACCATAGGTTATAATTTGATAAAACCAATTTCATGTTCACAAAGCAACCTCATTGCTTTTAGAAGCAAAAATGAAATCTGAACTAGTTAGAGCTGTTAGCAGTTGAAATACGTATTGGTTGATAAGCTTTCATGAAAGTTGGACAGACACATACTGCATGGTTTCTTTAGGCATGTGAAACATACATGAATATGAAATGTGAATGTTTTAATTTGACCTACTGCGGAAATTAATTCAGGAGATAGAAGTCACACAGCTCTACAGCACACAGGCCTTTAAGGAATTCCTAGAAAGAAAGGGCCTCAGACAGCCTTTGGTGAGTCATGAGAATCTGCTTAGGGTGTTGTGTGCGTCCCCAGGTTGATGTGCTTGTGGCTATTGCTGTGTTGTCCTAATGTCCTGGTTGTAAAAATGCCTAGACCAGGGACTTGGAGTTGTTCTCTCCTATGTATTGGAGTTTTTGGAGGGGAGGAACTGCTGTAATAGCAAAGGGGGGGCTCAGAAAGCAGCTGGGGCTCTGTTGAGCAGGGGGTCTTGAAAGCAATGCTGTGATTCCCCCTGTTCAGACTTAGTATGAAGGACCAGTGCAAAGTGCCATCCTGGGAACAAGCCTACAGGTATTGTGATGTACACCTGGGACTCGTGTAGCTCTGCAGCTTGTGTGGCTGGAATTCTTAAATGCCATCAGCATGTGCAAAACCCTGTGCTATGTGTTAACTGTGGATGCAAAGCAGATTTAAACCTCAGTGCTGGAGAAGAGACTAGACTGAGTTGGATCTCACATCACAGGCAACAGCTGCAACTCAGCCATAGGTGCACCAGATATTTTACCCTTTCTTTTCATGTATTTTACCTTGTTCTTCAATTCTAAGTATCATTTGAGGCTGCTAATCATGTTTATGTTTAATCTCTTGTTTCAGTTCCTTTGGAAAATGGTGGCTGAGAAAATGATAGAGCTCCAGAGGAGTCAACCAAAGCTTGCAAGAAAGTGTCTGAAGAGGTACAACAAAATAAGAGAAGGCTGTTCATGACCATGAATTAATACAGATTTCTAAATTTTCTTAAAAGGAATAAAACTAGTAGCTGAGTTGCTCCTAGAAGAATATTCTCACATTGGAATAAGCCTTAAGGTAGTTTGGAGTCAATTCTGAAATGGACAAATAGTTTGAAGATTGGATTTGGAGTACTAAATTCCAGGCACAAACCACTTGGCTATCTTAGCAATGCTTGGGCTTGGCTAGAAGGCAGTCATGATGTCTTGTGCTGTAAGCTGCTGTCTAGACAAAGATCCTGGTCCACAAACAACTTCCTGCTTTTTTAAGCTTTCACTTTGTGCTTACTGCTTTACAGAACAGAAATAAGTGATCTCTGAATTCTCTAAGGTATAACTGGTGCTGCAATCTACACACCTACTGAAAATTGAAACCTTCCAGCTCAAAGTGTATAAGGCAGTTAGCTATAACTAGACAAGAAATGCCTAATAAAGACAGCTGAAGCCTTTGCAGTGCAAGAACTGGGCTGTCCCATAACCCTTTGGCCTATTTGTGAGTGAAACTGCAGCTTTGCCTTGTTATCATAATAAACTGCCCTGATGGCTGAATTCCCTACTGTAAAAGAATGCCTTTGAGCTCAAGGATTTGTTCCTCTCAGCCTGTATATGTGCTGTAATTTATGCTGCTAATTATACTTTTTGGTCTAACTAGAAACAGGATTTGAGGATAAATTTCCATAGTTTAAAAAGGATGTCTGAAACAACTAGCAAAAAAATCCCTCTAACCCCACATTGTGTAAGCAACAGAACAGGATTTAGGCAAGGAAGACAGACCTGGGAAGAGTTAAGTCTAAAAGCAGTCTGTGAGGAGATGAAATAGAAATGTATTCCTACAAGTCTGAGGCAAAATGAATTAAGCTTAAATGCACTAATTATTCAAGAAACATTAAATGCAGCTGAAAAACCACCCTGACCTGTGAAGAGCAAGGACCTGGTAGGTAAGCATTGCAAGCCCAAGGGGGAAGCCTTGTCCCACCTTAGTCAGAGAATGAAATGAAGGAGTTCACACCAAGGCATGCATTCTTCCCCCCAACATCAGGACTCGCCAAAAAAAATCCCACTTGACGTAGCAGCTGCACAATCTGAGAACCATGATCTTTCAAAGCAAGGTGTGGTTTTGTTGGCACAACTAAGCCTCCAGCAAGGGGTATTTGTCTCATCCATCAACACTTCCACTGGTTAGAAGGCTGCAGACACTCTCCAGGGTGCTTTCAGAGATAAGTAGACCTCACTTGCTCCTATTTTACTGTCTTGGCCTTTCAGGTAAGGATTCAGAGCCTGGTTTAACTTGCTGTGTTGCTTTGAGTTGCCTAAAACCTGGTTAACACAATCCAGGTTAGTGGTGTAGGCTTCTCCCTTTTAGAAAACATGGAGGGAATGAATCCTGATGCATTATAAAGCTTAAAAGCACATAGGGAGTTTGCTGAATGCCTTTTTCTTGTTTCCCAATGGCTGATTGTTCTGCCCAAGGTGATCTAAGCAAGTAGTTGCTCACAGCTGCTTTGACTTCCTTCTTCCTGAATGCCTCTCATAAGTAGTCTGTTGTGCTGGTGTTGCTGGGCTTCCAAGATCTGCAGCAGGGTGATTTCCAGTCTTATGGAGGTGAACCTTCCATTGTCTCTACAACAGGATGCACAAATCGATATGGAAACTTTGTATTTAGGCACAAGCCTCTAGAGTTAGAGGCAGAGCCCCAAGGACTGACTAGTTGTAACCTCAAGAACTGTGCTGGGAGATGAAATGCAGCCTCACCATGACATACTAATTTCTTATATCATATTTGAAGAAGAAAATGTCTGAGATGTTGGTGAGTTTAGTACCTAGCCCCTGAAATATGTATAGTTGTGTTAGCAGATGGCAGGAGTCTCTTTGCAGGGAGGCCCCTTTGCATTTCTCTGAGTTGGCATCTTTTTGCCGTCTTTCATTTTTGAGTGCATGGTCCATAACTCTGATGTAACAGAATGTAGTTAGGGTAATCTGTCTGTCCTCTTTGCTCTTTTCAAGACTGTTTTTTCTTGGAGGACAAGACACCTTGTATACAAATGACTAGCCCCTGGCATACCTGTCTTGAAGGCACTTTTATCAGTGGTGAGGTAGGATTCTGATCTGCACCTTGCAATTTCAAGAGTGATTTAGGTGATCTTTGGATGTTCAAGCTCTGGTCCTACACTGACTGACAGGGCCTTGAAGCAGTTCAGTCAGGTGGAACTGATCCTAAACTCATAAACCAGTTCAGCCTTGATCTGTTATAGCTTCTGCAAGTACATCATGATATTTCTATCCCAGTATTTCAGAAGGCTTTGCCTGTAAGTATAGGCAGTTATTTAGGGAGAACTTCTTCCTCACTGTGAAGGAGGGAAGAATACAATTATAGACTTGGCTTTTTCTGAGTTCTCATTGAACATAACACACAGGCTGCTGCAGAAAATATTTTATTCAAAGTTTCACTAACAAAGCTACAATTAGGGGAGTAAGGCTTTTGCTGGTTTATTTCAATTATGTGTGAAGCCAGAGATCAGCCTAAGGCTTAACAATCAATTTCTGACAACAGTGAAAAACATACCAGCCATCCCAAACGTAATGCTGGACACCTTGGGCACTCATTCACAATGTCTCTATGGGCAATAGAGAGTAAACCACATGTCAGATGCAATAAAGAATCGGCTCCTTGATTTGGGTGGGGTTTTTTGTATGAAGAGCAAGTCTACTGATGTGAAAGAAGGAATAAATCCCTAGCTAAGGCACTGCTTGAGCGATTGAGTCACCATGGGATTTCTTGAAGTTTTAAATGCGAAGTGAGGAACAAAAGGAGATATTTGAATTATCTTGTGACTGAACTGGGAGCAGGAGTGGAAGAAGGCACCAGTATCAGTAAATAAGCATGGAAGGTGAAATACCTAATGTTCTAGAGGGGTTTACTATTCCTGGCACAGCTGAGCTCCTGGCAACTTTGCAGAAGAGTTCAGGGTAGAGTTATCTGTTGGTCTTCTCCAAATGTACATGCAAGCTAGAAGCTTGCAACAGTCAAAGTGCTTTAGAATGCCCAAATGAATATGACCTTTGAAATAGGAATCCTTGGTCTTATCCCTCATCTTTTCTCTCAAATCTGGTTGTACTTCTAATAATGACACAAATTCTGCTAATGCAGTCAAAGGGTTTTTTTTTTAAGGTTGTGCAGAGGCTTGCTTGAGATGGCTCAGGGAGAGAAATACACAGATGTTCCAGCAGCCTTGCTCAGATGAAGACTGTTGGAAGACCACCAGAAAGACGAGCTCTCCAGTGCTGTAAATCTATGTAGTTCCCTTTCCTTAAAGAGAATTACTGATTTAGATCTACTTAGGATCTGGTCTATATAGTGATAACATCTGGGGCATACAATAATGGCATTGTAGATATGTGCCGGGGATGAAGAGTCTAACAACCAGTACCTGTTCTTGGGAGATGGCAGTAGTCTGCTGTTGAAAACAGTATGAAGAAGCAAGTTGGCATTACTCTGGGATCTGGTATTTTGGACACTCTTGTCCAGGTGCTAATGGTGCTATACAATTTTTTTTATAGGAATACTAAATGTGAGGAGGCAGTGGATTAAGCTAATCAGCATAGCAGGATGCTGGTGTCAGAACTGCTTGCAAGTTTTTCATCTCTCCGTGGTAGAGGAATGGGAAATTTGTAGTGTAGCACTTGTCCCGGTTGTAGGTGTAGCAGGTTTCAGGTTCATCGCAGGAGGTGCTTTGCTGGGCCTTGTGTATCTCACCACCCAGCTCAATCTCTACAGGATCACATTTTTTGCAGCTGGAAGAGATGGAGAACAGAGCAAGTGTTCAGAGCTGTGATGAGAAGATGCCCCTGGTGAAACCCCCATCTTCCTTGCTGATCTGTACATGGATCTAGGAGAGTATTGTGGCCTTTTTAGGTTTTACAAAGGAACCCCCAGCCAGATGCTTTTAGTGTTGTCAAACTGCTATTGTCAAGACTGGTCCCTGAAAGGGAGGGTTAAGCAGGCTATGTGTAATCTGCTTATATTTAAGACATTTGAGATGAACAAGGGTCAGAATGAAACATTTCCTGTAAGTGTGAGCCCTTTTCATGTGAATTAATGTCCTGGGTTCAGCAGTAGCACTCATTTTTCCCCTTCTTGGTAGCTGGTGCAGTGCAGTGTTTTGACTTTCAGCTTGGGAACAGAGCTGATAGTGATGTTTAGGTTTGGCCAAGGACTTTGTGAGCCTCATGCTCTGCCAGGGAGGAGGGGAGGCCAGGAGGAAGCAGAGACAGGACACCTGACCCAAACTGACCAAAGAGGTATTCCATACCACAGCACGTCATGCCCAGGAGGCAACTGGGAGTTAGCCGGAGGGGCTGGGAGACTGCAGGGTTGGAGGAGGTATCGGTCAGAGCTTGGTCGGGCTGGGGGGGCTGGTGGTGAGATGATGTATTCTCTTCCCTTGTTATTTCCTTTATCATTATTATCATTGGTGGTAGCAGTAGTGATTTGTGTTATACCTTAGTTACTAAACTGTTCTTATCTCAACCCGTGGGAGTTGCATTCTTTTCGATTCTCCTCTCAGTCCCTCCGGGAGCAGGGGGAGGGCAAGAAGGAGGGGGGGGAGTGAGTGAACGAGTTACCTGACTGGGTTTAAACCACGACAATTAATCATGGAGATAACTATTTCTTGGCCTGGAACAGAATATGAAAGCTGGACTGTGGGGAAAATTTTCCTCACTGACCCTGCCTCACCTTCTCTACTGGCCTTCGAGCATGTTTTTGAGCTTGGGTAGACAATGCTGGTGGGGTGATGAAGTCTTAGGAAATTACTTTAGTAAATAATTACTTACAGGTCAGTCATGCGGTAGACAAAAGTGGTTCTGAGTGGGGACAGGGGGTCAGAGATGTTCTCTCGAGCCTTCAGGGGGACTCTGCAAAGGAGGGAAGAGAATCACTGTCATGAAAACTGCTTATTAACCAGAACTACTCTGCTGGGAACAATTCTGAGTTCTCGTTGTCTTGTTCAGACTGTTTGCATTCCAACTTTTCTCTGTAACAAAGCCCAGGAGCAGCGCATTTTGGCCCTTCAGTGCCCTCAAAGGCAACCCCAAGATGACTGCAGCAATTTCTGAAAGTGCCACTTGGAAGGGGACAGTGCTGATAATCCTTTAGTTTAAACTCTGAGCTCTCAGATGCCTGAGAGACTTGCAGGACATGGACATGTTTAATTACTGTTTCCCGTGTTGTGAGCTCTACCAGAATCCCTGTGGCTCTGAGCCTGAACTTGGTCCATGTTTCAAAGACACACACACTGCTGTAAGGTTTGTGTGAATAAAGAAGACAAAATCTTACTCTTCAACTGAGGCATGCCTCATAGAATTAACCTTTGTGATAGTTCAGGCATTAACCAGTTTTCTCAGCCTATATAAATAGCAGGCTCGCTTTGAGTCCAGCGTCATCGGCCCAGTTTGGGTTCAGATTTAATCAGCTGTAGAAATGTTACACCCTACTTCCCCAGTCTATTATGTAAAGCTACAACGGGACTTCTTAAAACATGAAAATGCTTTTTGTATCTGAAGGAACAAAACACACATCGATTCATGTAAACTATAAAAACATGAAGCAAAGGGAACATTCCAAGATACCGTAGAAAGCAGCCCACAGGAAAAAAAGTTCAGTTCCTTAATGCAAGAACATGGGAAACAATGCAAAGAAAAAGGAACTCTTGTAACACTTCATGTAACACTCGTCTGCCACTTACAGGATGCGTATGTTTCTCTGTAGAATTTCTGCATCAGGATTTTCTTTGGAGGGGACGAACTTTGAGGTCACTGTTACACACTGACACTTGTTATTGACCAGCACGTGCTCCTCGTCCTCAGGGTCACGTGGATAACCTGTGAGCACAGGATATGCAATCCCAAAGTCAAGAAGACAAACCCTGAAACCTGCTTTAGCAGAAAGCCAAGTGATGAAAATGCCAGAACTGCATTACAGATACCATTACTGCATCTGGGTTGATTAAAACCTGGGTTGCAGGTACAAATGAGCCTCTTGGCAAAGATGAGTTCTGCTGTCCTCTCTGCTTCATCTACAGTATGGTTCTGTATGCAGAGGCGATGGGACTGGGAAGGAGCAAATGATGGACCTGGACACTGTGTGGCTGGTCAGAGGCAAACATGCAGCAGTTTCTCATGAAATAGGAAGAAAATCCCCTTGCAAGCCTCAAGCTACACTTGAGAGCTGAAGTCCTGCTTTTACCTGAATGGGAGAGGTTACCCAATTCCTTTGTCATGCACCAGGACTAGTCCAGCAATCCAAATCCTAGTTTGGATCTGGCCTCTAAATAAATGTCCCTGATTTTGCCAATGTAACAGTTTTCCTTAAGTAATATGTTGTCCTTCAAGCCCTTCAGGGAACAGATGCCAAAAAGCATGACGACCCAGCAATACAGCAGCCTGCTGACTTGGCAGTGAAAGGCAGGTGGCCCTCATGCTTGTGGTTTGTAGGGACGGCTGCAGTTTTGATGTTCTTAAATAGAGAAGAACCACCTTAGGTTCAATATGAACTATTACTATTCAATATGAAACCCAGTTAAAATGGGGTAAAACATCCTGTCACCCAGGGGCTTTTTGAAGGTTCCTGGTTGCGTGCGATACCTTCTTACTGTGCAGGTAGATGGATTTTAAGTAGCTGGTTCTTTGCTAGTTGGTTTTGCCCAAACCCATAATAAGCCAGCCCTGCTTCTATATGCACACAGTCATACCCTTCTTAAGGGATTGTTTTACCTCCCTCTGTATTTCTAAATGCTGCTGAAATAATGTTCACAGCCATCAGTATGGTATTGCTCTTCTTACAGAATCTTCAGCCTGCTTAGAAGTACCAAAACCAGTGATCTTTGTCAGATGGGGTAGTTTATATTGGGCTCAGCAGGACCTCAGTTCTGGGGACTGTCCTACTCTGCTAGTCCCTTGGCTTAACCATGGAGGGAAAGAAAAAACAGGCTGATGATGCCTGTGTTCATATCTGTGAAGGATTTCAGAGTCATTTTGACTTAAACGGTTTGGTCCCAGCAGCTGGGTTTGAGTTATCAAAGCACACATCAGTAATGAAGCAGAAACACACATTGTATAAGCTCATGTCTGGTTTTTCTCTTAATCTCCATGTCCAAAGCTGCTGGGTTTTATTAGCAACAGAGCCTGTTGCTACAGGGTGAAAGGGATAGTGCTCAAAGCCTGTGGGAGCAGCGCATGGACTCTCAGGTGGGCTGTAAGTTTTCTGATTGTCAGACACTGTTGGCAGCAGCTTAACTGTTACGTAAAGCTGTATGCCAGACCATGCAAGGACAGGTCTCTGCAGTGTTGACTGGCAGAGCCTCCAGGTGTCTAGTCCATGCAATGTCATGCCAATTGCATTCCAGGTTTTCTACCTAAGGTTTCTTACAGCTTCCTTCCTGCTCCACAATATGTTGGTCTCATCTGCTGCTTCCTTTCCTCGGGGTTATTTTCTGTGATCCTTGCAGATGCTGGTTTTGTGAAAAAGCCACCAAAACTGTAAATGATGACTCAGAGTGACCCTAAAATTCCCCAGGTGGTTACAAATGCAGTTTCTGTGACAAGCAGCAGCAGAATACTTTCCTGAATAGGACTGACTGCGGAGTTTCTTGATCAGGAAGGAAATTACTTTGCTTCCTTACTTTGGGCAGTGGAGCAAGCCACCATGGGCATATTCCCCCACTTTTCTTTATTTCTCTAAAGCATGTCCTGCTATAGCATGTGCCCATTGAGCCCTCTGGAGCAAGGGCTGGCTTTTAGCATTTCTCTGTACTGCACCCAGCACAACCCAGCAGTACAAATGCCACTGTAAAATGTGACTGTGACCTCTGCGAGTCTTGGCCTTTCTTTTGTCTTATACAAAGTCTCTTGCTTCTTGTCCTTCATACAGACCTTCCTCTGGTGTCTGCCAGACATGCATGCAATTCCTTATAAATCCTTAATTCAAAGCCAATAGTCAAGTCAGATTCTAATGGCTTTGGGAATTGCTCCAAAAAGTTTGGGAACAGGCTTTAATTCATCTTCTAAAAGCATATTAACATACTCTTATGAATATGCAGAGGTTTTTTGACTGTACTCTAAAAACAGTGTCCTTATTTAATTCCTTGTGTAATGCTCTTGGCTTCAGTAAGCATAAATTAGATATATTCTATATAATGTTTTCAAATTAAAATTACAAAGCTCAAAAAAGGGTGGCTTTATCAGCACTATCTCCATGCACCAACCCAGTAAAGTCCCTTTGGGAAGATGGTAGTTAAATAAAAAATTTCCTCATGCCCTTTTAAGTGTCTGCAGGTTAGATTTTCTGCTGCATGATTCACTGCAAGATGGGTGTTCCCTCCCTCCTTAACAGTTACACAGATTTCAATATTGGCTGGTCCTGTAACACACTATGAAGCCCAACAGAAGCCAGCTTCAGCACAGCGAAGAAGCAAATGCATTCCAAAGATCTGTTCAAACCCTGCTGCAGGTCCAAATGGCTAATTTATTAAAGTAGGAAGAGGCTCAAATAGCCCAAAAATACATTCATTTCAAGGTAAACAGTCCAAACAGCAATCCCATAGCTACACATAACTCTAAATTGACCTCCCCTCTAAACTGCTCATGTATATATATGTTTCAAGCCATGCATATGAATGGGGAAAGCCAGACTGGGTTCTGTGTTGAACCAACACAGTTGCTGAACTCAACATTTTCTGTCTTTTCAGCAAATAAACTATACAGCTGGATGCTTTTCACAGGAAGCAGTACTTTACAAGGACCTGCCTGGGTAGGGAACAAGATGCCCTTTTCCCAAAAGTGGGAGGAAATGCAGGGATGCTGCTGTCCGTGCTGTTGGGATGGTTATCCTCGAGCATTGATTTAATCCTGGGGACCAGACCCACCTTGTGAATGAGGATGACTGTTGTATAGTATTAGTACAGTCAGCACCCATTATTTGTGAACCACACTGAGAAGTGTGTTGGGATGACAGTCTGATCTCAGTCTAAATCAAGAGTATCCAGAAAATTCAGTGGAGTTAGACAATAAATTACAGTTTAATTGGAAGTAAATTTGCTGTAGCAATATACAGGATTACCAGAAAAACTTTGGAATCCTTTAAATCTGGCAGGTAACAGTCTTGCAAGCTTCTTACCACTGCAGAAAAGCAAGCATGCATGTTTGCTGTTTGTTGCTTCAGAAACCCAATGAAAAATGGCTAGAGTCTTAAATTTGCAGATAGTCTTGGCTTTTTTAGCCTCAAGGCAGCAATTAAAACCACACAGCTCTGTGGTGCAGAAAGACTCTGAGGTGTCCAAGCGGCACTGAAGCGTGACTGCTTGAGCAGGACTTGAGGTAGTATTTTTGGCTTATAGAAATATTACTGACTACACAAACCCCATCACTGATCTCTTAAGCAGAGTTGTCCATGCTCTTCATTTCTCACCTACCTGCCACCAGGACGAGCCCCAAGGAGATGGCCAAGGCCACACACAGCAACAAAGAGCTCTTCATGGTGCCTTCCCTTCTTTTGAAGAACACTAGTGGACAGCCTCCCTCTGCCTATAAGGGTGCGTGGAAATGATACAGCTGTTTCCTAAAATAAAAGCCCAGCCGGCCAGCACAGCCACTGTGGAAAATGTGGCTGGGGACTGAAACCAGGCAAGTTCACTGCATGAAGACTTCCGGCTTTCAGAGATGAAGAGGGGCAGATGGTTGCAATATTACTGTGCATTTTTATTAATCACAAAGTAACAAAGCTGCTGAGTGCAAGCTAGTGCAAACCCACCCTGGTCCTTAAGGGACATCTTGTCTTCAGGGCTAGTGGTGCTGAAAAGGAACTCCATGGATTTGCTGGTTAACAAAAAGTTCTGAGTCAGGTCCTGGGCAAACTCTGTGAGGTACTAGGCAAGCAGACTTCTCCTGATGGAGGGGAACACTGGAGAGGACCTGAGATTTGGCTTTTTTCCCAGATTTGGGATCACTTGTATAACTCTGAAAGCTGTCTTTAGGATGTTTATGTGACTTGTGCAGAAAAGCCCACTTCTTAAGGGAAGCCCAGTCTTAGCGAGGGCCTCCAAACACCTACACTGGGGGACAAATGCGGGGGGCAGAGCAAAGTACAAACCCCTGGCCTGTTCTTAGCCAGGGTTATTGCTTCAGTGTTTCCTGAATTTCTCCTCCTGCAATGTGTGTTTCTCTCAATTAACATGAGAAGCACATGGTAAATCTTCCTGCATCCTCCAGATTTTCCTTGTGCAGCAGAGCACCAGCCCAGTGACCAGATACAGGCTTTTCACCCACCCCATGCCACCTTGGGCTCACCCAGGGCTGGTTGCTCTCAGGAGACTGAAGTCCTTAGGCCATGCTGCCAGGCACCCAGTTCCTGAAAGGGCAGCCTGTCATCTCCTTTGTTCAGACCTTGCAGGCTGTGTATCTGACCCTAAAGGTGTTCAAATACTCTGGGATCTGTCCCCTAAGCTTTTTCTCCTAGCACAAGCATCTCCTATGGCAGCTGCATGATGCAATGAGCTGTTGTGTTGCATCAGCAGTGCTCACACGCAAGGTTTCCCCGGGGGGGGGGGGGAACAATGACATGGGTACAAGCCCACCTCCCAGCAGGGCATCAGGTTATGCATAGCTCTTTATAAACCTTGTTCTCTCACTAGGGCTCCATCTTTAGGAGGGCAAAATTTGATTTCGTTTCTTTTCTCCCTCCCCAGAAAATATTGCCAACAGTTTCATGTGGAGCTCTCTTCTGAAGCAGCAGGAGCAAGAGGTTCAATGTGCTCCATATTTTGCATAAGGTTAAAAATGAGCCTGGTTAACTATAAGGTGGTAGGGGTGTCTGTCTAAAGCACTATTTGGTTCAGTCACCTTTGTAACAAAATAGGTAACATATTAAAAACATACAAGATGGTGGGACGCAGGCAGCAAAATAAAGCACTTTGCAGAAGATGCTGGTTCTGGTCAGTTTTGCCAAACCGCGCTGATAAAACACAGCACTGGTAAGATCCAAGCAGAATCATCCATGCCCATTTTCAAGCCCAAAGGGAGAGACTGAGCAGAATTATATTTAGTGTGATGCTGTTGATTTTGATGTGTTTCCCCAACTGCTGGTGCTCAGCACACCTGAATTTCGGTTGCTATATCGATATGACTGCATATAGGCCCTTTGGGCTTTATATGGTGGCACAAGAGCTATTTTAGTCCCGGTCAGCCACCTGCATGTCTCTGAGCATTTTGATCTTGCTTGCAAGCTCTTTAGAGGAAGATATCTTTTACGGTCTGTTACTTTTATGGACTACCCCCTTTTTACTGTGTGACATTCTGAATTACCAGAATATTATCTGGGGAAGCAAACATTAAAGAACTGCAGCTGTTGGGTAAGGGGCTGGCAAACATCACTGGCAGAGGCTAGTGGAGGAGTAATTGAGAATTTGAAAAGAAATGGGAACCAGCCTTGTAGTCTCAATCTCCCTTCACTTGTCCTGTGTCTCCCATCACCCCTGGACTTGCTGAATGAGTTTTCCAGGTCAGATGCTGGACAGGTGCCTGGATAAAGTGAGACAAACTTGTGTCTGTGGGTGTCCTTGCCATGCTGGGTGAGGAGCGGGAAGGAGGACAGCTGTACCATGGCATGGGCCATCTCCAGATAACACACCCCTGCTAGCAGTCTGTCCTACAGCTGGCTTCTCTCCTCATTTCTCATTTGGAAGCAAAGGAACTGGTGGGTTAAATCAGACCTACAGTGGTCACTGATTATTGTATTGGTGGTGGTTATTCCACTGATGCTTACAGCAAACCCCTGTGGTTTGGCTTGACCAGTTCCCACTAACTGGATGAACTGACTCACATCAGATATCGTTTCCAGCTTCATCAGAAATGGATGATGTTTTCAGCAAGTCCTGGAGAAGGTTCACATGTCTGTAGATGTGATTTCTGCTTTTAGACATGAACCTTGGACTCAGAGGTAACACATCAATTCCATTTAAATCCAAGTGGAAGTTTGTCTGATGTTAAGGCTCTGAATTTTGAAAGGGCAAGACTTAAAAAAAAGAAAAATAAAATAAGATGAGGGCACTATGTGGTGAGGGCAGTTACATGACAAGTGTCAGGGACACAGTGAAGGCCTGGGCTTCTGTAGGTCACGCTTACAAAAGTTACCTGGAATTTTAATGACACAGAAATCAGCTGCAGACTTCTCTGGGTGGACTTCACACAAAAGAGGGTGGGATTAAGCAGCAGGATTACAAAGCCTCATTAGCAGAGATGGCTGTGCTTTAGTGGCCAACTAGTATCAAGTGAGGATTTCCACTGAGGTGTGGCTAACAAATTGAATTAATGCCATGTCCCACCAAAACCAACTGATTTTTGTTGCTCTTTGTTATGCAGGCCTGTATCCAGGGGAAGTGGTATCTGAAAACTGGCACAGATGGATTTGGAAAGGGTGTCTTAGCCTGAAGTGAAACATATCTTTGGTACAAGAGCATACATGGAAAATTTAGACCCAGAAGTGACTATGCAGATGTCAGAAGAAAGGCTCCTAAGTGAGACTTGTCTGCTGTCAGACCTACCAGCATTCAAAGGAATCACTAAAAAGTGAGTAAAGTTGTGCTTTAAAGTTGTGCACCCCCATCCCCCCACCGTTTCAGTTAACTTTAATATTTGCTTGTCAGGTCTTTTTCCACAAGGAGGTGTGCAGGAGTATTTATAAATAGCACTGCACCTGTTCCGTGGTGAGAAAAAAGCATCTGCACTTGTACACAGAGCTCCTCTTGTGGGCATGTGTGCCTGCCTAATTTATCAGGCTTTGGGTTTCTGAGCTCAGACTAAACTCAGCACTGTGCCCCCCTCTGCTCTTGTGGCACAGCTACCTGCATCTTAAGAACAGACCGCTTCTGGGTGGTCCAGTAGTAATGTTATGTGAAGACTGGGTGATGGGAAGCACTTGGAAGAGTTCATGATCTCAGATGTGTCCAGAAAGGTTTTCAAATACTTTTTCTCTCTGAAAGTTTGATGCGATTGTGGGGGTAATAAGATGTTTCAGTAAAAAGGGGGACGGATGTCAGGTGCACTTTGTATCTTGCTTTCCACCTCCCCCTTGTTGTAAGACTATACAGACAGCACTTGTATGTGTCTGTGCTTTTAGGCGAAGACAAGACCCCCTGAGGAGGGAAAAAGGCACTCTTATTGTTGTGCGGCATTATTCATTGCTGATACCTGCCACGACTGAACTAACTCCGTGCTTGGGGCTGCCCGCGTGGCACAGCTCCTCAGGGCTATTACTCTATTAAAAACCTAATAGTAGAAATAAACTCAGTTATATTCCAGACTTTGGAGTGGCTACGAACTGGAGTTCAGCCCATGAACTAGAAGCTTAGCTGCAAGCGGTGGGGTTTGAATGAGCAAGTACTTCCAGGAGACACACCGGTGAGGGCTGGCCAAACCCCGGCTCAGAACCCGCCTCTCTGCGCTCAGGCCACCACGAATCAGCCCCACCGCGCAGCTCAGCCCTGGGCCCCGCACGGCGGAACCGGAACCGGAAGCGTGGGGAAGCGGAAACACGGCACGGCACGGCACGGTGGAAGAGCCGGAGCGGAGCTATGAGGACGCGCCGCGGCACTCTCCTGCGGCCGCGGGCAGAGCCGGCCGAGGAAGAGGACGAGGATGTCGGGGAGCAGGCGGCCGGCGGGCAGGCGGGCTCCGAGGGCCTGCGCGACGAGGTGGAGGAATTTCATGAGGCACAGTTCCAAGCGGTGATGGCGGCCCTGGAGAGCGGGGAGGAGACCGGAGGCAGCGAGGAGGAGGAGGAGGAAGTGCTGGGGCTGCAGCTGCCAGAGGACAGTGAGGAGGATGGACACGGTGAGGAAGAAGAGGAGGAAGAGGAAGCACAAGGGGTGGATCTTTTCCTGGACCACAGCGCAGAAGAGGATGGAGGTGAGGAGGAGCATGATGGGGAAGGTGAAGACAAGGAAAGCGAAGGTGAAGATAAGAATGGGGAAGGTGAAAAGGAGTTAGAAAACGAGGTTGAAGATGAAGATGGGGACTTGTCCATGGAAAGCGACTTGGAGGAGCACCATCAGGACACCAAACTGCCTCATGAGCTCTCCTGGGGCCAGCGCAAGCATCTCTACTACGACACAGACTACGGGAGCGATGCCCAGGCCAAGGGCAAGCGTAGCCAGCAAGAGGTTGATGCTGAGGAGGAGGAAGAGGAGCAGGAAGCTCAGGTCATTCAAAGGCGGTTGGTGCAGGACTTGGGGGAAGATGATTATGGTTTAGATGTGTTTCAGGGCTATCTGGCTGATCAACAGAAAACCCACGACAGCAAAGGGCAGAAGATTGACAAGGATTTGCAGGCACTTTCCAAGAAGGAGCAGCTCAAGCTGCTGAAGCAGGAGTCCCCTGAGCTCCTGCATCTGATTGAAGACTTTGAAGTCAAGCTAATGGAGCTCAAGGATGAACTGCACCCACTACTGCAGATGGTCAAAAATGGCACTATCCCGCAAGGGAAAGGCAGCCGCTATTTGCAGACCAAGTGTCATCTGTACTTGAATTACTGTGCCAATATCAGTTTCTATTTGGTTTTGAAGTCAAAGAGGATGCCAGTTCATAATCACCCTGTTATCGAACGGCTGGTTGCTTATAGAAATATAATCAATGACCTAGCTGTTATAGATCAAAAGCTGTCCTCACAAGTCCGTATGCTTCTGAAAAACTACTATGATAAGAAGGAAGACAAGTTACGGAAGGAGAAGAAATTTGCAGTGTTTCTACCACTGGATGTTAAGAAAACCAAATCCAAACATGCTCCTGTACTTGCTAATGGCTGGGCTTCAGCTGGTGAGCCCTCCAGTGAGTCAGACCTGGATGAAGAGGCTGCCCTAAAATACTACCAGATGATGGAGAAGAAGTTGAAGCTCAAGAGAAAGAGAACTGAAGATGAAGACAGGCTTGGAGAAGAAGCAGTGTTGGATGGAGAGGATCCAAATAAAAAGAGAGGTGTCACTTACCAGATGATCAAGAACAAAGGCCTCACACCCAAGAGGAGGAAGATTGATCGGAACCCCAGGGTTAAGCACCGGGAGAAATTCCGGCGAGCCAAGATCCGCCGCAAAGGCCAGGTCCGTGAAGTCCGGAGGGAATTGGACAGATATGCTGGGGAGGTGTCTGGCATCCGCGCGGGTGTTAAGAAAAGCAGGAAGCTCAAGTGATAGTTCTTTTTCTGCGTTCCTGAGAGCTGCAAGCAGCACTGCTGAATCCAATAAAGATTTTATAAAAGATTATGTGTTTTTTTTATTCTTAAGCAAGCTGGGGTTGGGGTAGTACGTGGGTTTGGTTTTTTTTTCACAGGATGCTTCTGAGAAGGTGCCACCTCTAAAAGTAGCACAGGACCCTTCCTCATCCAGCCTGTGAGTTAAGATGTTTTCCTCCATTGGAACACTGTCATCTTTCTATACTGTAAATGCTGGGTTTGGGGGGCTGCAAGGGATGTGTCAAGCAAATGGAATAATGTGGGACAGTGGGGAGATGGGATGGAGTGACCTGAGGGCAGGTTGTGAATAAGGTTGATGCAGCTGTCACCACCTTTTCCTTTTTACTGTCTTGGTTTGGTCCATCCTTTTTCTGTGTTGAACTACAGAATGAGATGCATATGGTTATGGTATTTAGTTGTTCTGATTATCTCCTCTTTGCCCTCATGTTTTGGAACTAACTACTCTGAGGCTCTCTTAAATCTCTAATTTTCTAACTATGCAGAAAGCTATTACCCTTTTCCCCTCCTCCTGAATTCAGTGAGAAGCCAAGCAAAGACTTTCCTGCATTTCATAGCTGTTTGCCAGTGATAAAATACATTAAATGCATCTGTGATAAATATGTTGTCTGCTGTTGTAGGTCTAAAGTAGCATTGATACAGGACAGACGGATGAGATGTAACATCGTCTTCAGTTTGAAGGTAAACTCATTTAACCACACTGAATTTCTGACTGGGAGCTCTGGTTCAGGCTGTAAAGGAGGAATGACTGATGAATTTTTCTTAAAAGCTGAACAAACACTGTCTCAGGTAAGAGCTGCACTTGAGCCTGGGACAGTTTTCAGAGAGCCCATCCTTTGTGTTCCAGTAGCATGTGAAAGGTACTGCTGTCAGTTTTCCCTGTGAAATCATTTACGGGGAATGAATGTTGCAGACACCCTGGTTGTATCTAGGTGGTCTGGTTTGGGTTATGTTTTGTTTTGAGGGGTTATTTTTGTGTGCTCTGCTCATTTTCTCCAAGCAAAATGTGCTTCCGTAGGTTTTTATGTCAATCTTTACACTCTAGGCCTGTTTATGCCAGGATTGTGCTGTTAATTGCAATTCTGAAGCAATTCTGTTGAATTTCAAAGCTGATTATTAAAGGGGGAGGTAGAAAAACAATTAACTTAAGCTGGGAACAGAAATAAGGAGACTTTTTGTAGTCCTTTTATGTCCTGGATCCATGGGATGCAGAGCTATGCATGGTGATTTCAGAGGGAATTCTGGTATGGTAGGTAGGGGTATAGGACAAAACAGTGAAATGACAAGTTCTGTTGATCTGCATGTTTACCCTCTGCTGCTTACAGGCCAAAAGGCATCTAAATGCTCCATGATTAAAAAAAAAAAAGATTGCTCCACAGAAACAAACTGCAAAGCATTGGGAATCAGTCCCTGCCATAGAATTGCCTGGGTCATGCAGACAAAGTTGAGGCTTTCTTCAAGAGGCTGCTGAATATGTCTTCTCATTTGACAATGCTCTCTGCACCTTGGTGGCCTTAGGTGAGATGTGAAACATATTAGCTGTGCAGATAAAGATATCCTTCACCTGTGCTTTCTTGTCTTCCCTTACTGTGAGCAGCAACCAACAGCGTCTTGCTTTTCCCATAGAGAAATGCAAGGCTTAGAGCTGGTTCCAGCCTTAGCAAGGAGGGAGACAGAGCTTCCCAAAACTGCACTTTGTATTAACCCTGTGTTGGGATCATGATGGAGGCCACCACTGATAATGCCAAGCTATGCTCCTGACGTCAGTAAAAAGGTAACATGCTAGATAAAAAGCAGCTTTTTCTGGTGAAGAATGGTGTGTAACAGTCATCACATGGGATGAGAAGAAGATCCAGCAGATCTCAGTACAGCACTTGGCCATGTACGTTTCACACTTTGTACAAAAATTAAAGGCTGATGATGGTTTGTAGATCTGCAGTCAAGCTGTAAGTATCCACGGCAGCTTTGTGGTCCCTTGAAAAGCTTTAGGCAGCTGGCATGAAAAATTCTGGCAACTTCCATCTGAGCAATAAATAAGAGAAATACTGAATTAGTGCACCATCACAGACACACTCCCAAGGAACATAGTGATTGAGGCCATACGGAAGAGGGAGCTCAGTGTTTTGGCACATCCAGCACAGGAAGCCAGCAGATGGCCCAGCACTGTAATTAAGATTAACCACAGCATTAAGTTCAGTTGGTTAGTTCAGAGATTGGACAAAGCCATGAACAGCTCACTCCTGTATGGTTTTATGAGTGAGTGATTGTGGGAAGGCTGTGAGTATGGCCATGTGAGGGAAGGCACTGTGATGTCCTAAGAGATGCTTCTTAGAGGGATGTTTTGAGCTGAAGGGAAATCCTTGGTGCCAAACAGGTTTTGAAGATCCCTGTGAAAATGGACACATGCAAATAAGGGGAGGACCACGGATGATGGTCAGGAAAATAAGTGAGAAGTGGGGCAAGGTTGTGGTTAATGGTGTTTTGGGGTTGGGATTTTTTTTGCTTCCAGCAGTGCTTCTGGATAAGGTTCTGATACTGCCAAGTGACACTGAATGGCACTTGTCCTCACCAGGCTCCTGCTTAGTGAGTGCTGGCTGCTCTGCTCAGAAGGGGTTGGTGGTGGGGTCTGCCTCAACAGCACCTAACACAGGTTAGCATTTAAACACTCGGGCAACAGTCACATCTCACATGAGTTGGCCCACGTGGCTGTGGAGATACCTGCTCCTGCATTGTTACAATGCTTCAAGCAAGCAGATGGAAATTCAAGAGACAGTCCTTTGTGCACTTAAATGTGAATTATTTGTGTTTAAAAAGCACATAGGCAGTGTGCAGCAAGCTCTAAGGAGAGGTAGAAGGTAGTCTGTTGTCTTTATACACATGGCAAACAGTCCTTGGTGGGCGATCAGCATCTAGAGAAAGCCTGGGTTGCCTTTGGAAGCATGGGCAGAAAAAGCACAGTGGCAGAGAGGTGGACAGTGCTTTTCCTGAATCACAACCTGAAATTTCTATTGATTCAAGGTAAGCAAAATACATTGAGTAGCTTATACAGAAATACTCCTGCTGCTGCCTTAAATTTTGTCAAGTCTTTCCTCATTGTCTTCCATAATACTCCACCACAGTCTGGGTGTTATTTCATTCTTGCTAACACTGGAAAATTGAAATTCAAACATTCAGCTTTGAGATTTGGAAAACGAGTTAAAGCATCTGTTAAATTAGTTGCAGCAAAGCAGCAACATGCTTCAGCTTCACCACAGGGCACTGAATGCAAAATATTCTTTAGAAACAGGCAGATTCGTGTTCTCCCTTCTTATTGACAGCACTACAGTCCACAGCAACTGCCCTGCCTTAATGAGAAGTCTTTATTACTGTCTTCAGAGAAATAATCTCCTAAGTGAAATTCCAATTGGCATGGTCGATGTGGTAGTTGTGATAGTAAGGAGTATATTTGGACCTTGTATTTTCACCTTTTGTCAGAGAATGTGAAAACGTTGTTGATGGGATCTTGCCCTTGGGAAGGTGAGGGGGAGGCAGGATGTGGTGCAATAGCTTTTCTTTGTGGGTGAGTTAAAGCATGTGTGAGTCCAACTTCCTTGTTGCCGTGTGAAGGGGTTTTCTTACGATTAACATCTGTGTTTCCCTGTGCAGGCTCTGGTCCCATGAAGGCATCTTTACATGTACAAGGCTGCTGCTTCCTTCCTTCTGGGCCAGTGTAGAAACAGACAGTGAAATACAGGTGATAACATTTAATTGGAACAGGGCGGGTGGTGGTTGTAGCAGGGTGGAAGGTTTATGGTAGAAGCTGAGGTAGGTTCACCTTGGTTTTGATAAAGCGGGAGAAAGATGAATTGGCAGCAGTGACAAAGAACGTGTTAGGGTATGAGGCTGGAGGCAAAAAAAATCTCTCGGGAAGAAGGGTAGACACAAGGCTCTATACCGCGTGGAGTTCGGTTGCCCGGTTTTAGTCAGTCTACGGTGAGCCATCCTTCGGGGAGCGGAGGCCTGCTGCCCCGGGCAGAGGGGAGAGCTCCTGCCAGGAGCAGGGCCGGTCTGGGGCCGCTGCAGTCACGGCACCGCCGGGCTCCAGGCGGCAGCAGGTGGGCGCAGGTCGGGTCGGGGCGGCTGGTGTAAGGGGGTCGCCGCAAGAGAACCAGCCGCCCCTCCCCGCAGCGGGCGAAGGCGGACCGAGGCGGGCCGCGGCCCTGCTTCCCGGGCGGGGCGGGGCCGGGCCCTGGCGGCGATGGCGGAGGCGGAGCGGGCGTCGCTTGTGCCGCCGCTGGCTGAAAGTTCCCGGGACGGGGACCTTGCGGAGCTACCTCCCGCCATGGAGCGGCGGGACGAGCCGGGAGAGGGGGTGGCGGCAGCGCTGGAGGAGGAGGAGGAGGAGGCGTCGCCTGCCTCGCCGCCTGTCTCGCCGCCGTTCTTCCTCCTCTACCCCGGCCATGGAGGCGCCGCCGCCGCCGCGCCGCGCGGTGTGTGGAGACCCCCGGCGCCCCGCGGCGGAGACCCCCTACCAGTGCTCGTGCTGAGCTATCCGGGGCCGGCCGGAACCCGTGAGTAGCAGCGGGGCTCCGGCTCCTCCCCTGGCGGCGGGAGCTTCCCTCGAGGCGGGGTGGTGCGTGCGGGGGGGGGGGGGGCGGAGGTGCCGCGGCAAGGCTGAGGGCCGCCGGGCGAGGCGGGGGCTCCGACGGCGATTGGTGCATGGAGCGGTGCCCGTGAGGTTTTGAAGGCACCCTGCCTTTGGCTTGGGGTGTAGTTATGTGGTGGGCAACACCCGCTGGGGCATCCGCCCGGTGCTGGCATCGAGGGCAAGCCGAAGGCGGGGTACTTGGCGAGGCTGAAGTGTGTTGCCGCCTGTGGGGCGGGGTGGATGGGTGGCAAAGAGTTTTCTGCTTTGTATGATTGCTTGTGATGTTCTTGCGGTGTATTTGGGTAAGCCGGAGTACTGTGAAGTAGGTGATGTGTTTTAAAACCAAACAAAAACTATGTGTATGGGTGCATATAGAAGAGGTC